TTTGAATGGTGCATGGCATGCACAGCCTTTGCGAAGCACTGTTGGCGCATGCACCCTCGCGCCATGTTCAACGTGTCAACTATAAACCAGGCTTCAGTTTCATATCCGGGAGATGTCCATGAATTTCAGCAAAATCTCAGGCTTTGGTTATACCTTGCGAATGAACCACATATGAAAAAGACATCAGGGAATTATTTATTTAATACATGGGGTCCCCAGATAAGGCTTATCCAGTGCAAATAGGGCTTACGAAGTGACCCTGGGGAAGGATATACTGGAAATACTGTCTTTCAGCTAGGAAATCTTGACAAGAGAGGGGAATGCCTTGCAATCCTCCCAGAAAAGCTGTACAAGGTGGTTGTGTAATTATGTCAAGGCATCCCTGCTCAAGTTGCTGCCCCTACAACCCGACTCCAGAACAACCCATAGGTAATGGATGGATGAATGAATGCATGTCAAAAGTTCTGTGACTGTACATCAGTGATTACATTATCAAATCAGATAAAGTTTGCAGTATGGGTCTAATATTCTTCTCCATCTAATATTGACTTAAAAGAAACCACCCCGAGGGATGTGACCAAGGTGTTCTTTAAATATTATGGTTTAGGAAGGCAATAGCAGAAGTTTGAAGCCATTTTGTTTTGATTATCCGCACACATAGGCTCTGAGGTTGTGATAGCGTCTTTAGATTTGGAAGTAAACTGGATTTGATGTTCTGTGCATTATTCAGGCTTCCAGATTTGAACACTTTCTTACAAGCATATTATAATCTGCTTTATAAGTACTACAGATAATTAGTTGTTTCTGATTTGACTACCATCTTCTGTACCCGACTGTTATAGTATGCCTTTATTTTCTATTATGTAAGATCTATAACCCCAGAGCCACAATTTATAGTTTATTCTGTTTTCACTGTTTTAAATTACATTTTAATGTTTTTTTATAAACTCTTAATAACTTATCCCTAAACTATGACGTTGGAAAGGAAAAAAAAGATTGGTCTATTATATTGATGGTATGAACCCAAGAGATTTTAACTTTATCAGCTACTGCCAAAAAAGATGGTCAATATTGGGAGTTGTTTGTGTGTTCAGTTTTTGTATGTTAGCAAAATATCTCATAAACCAGTATTGACACTTACAGAAAAAAATTGCTGCTAAAAACCAACTCTGATCACTGTTTTCTGTATGCAAATACACAAATGTTGCATAAAGATCAGTTTTTCTGTGTTGTGTTAATATAATAGCCTAGTGACATTATATGTTGGTATGTGATTTTTGATGTTAAATGCTTGTTGCTCTGCTCCTACAGACTTTGTTTGCAAATGCGTGAGCAAACAGACACTTTAATAAGCTGGGCTCAACAGCCATAATCTCCCATGATTCCATCACCTTCTTAAGTGTGTGTCTGAGCACATCACTCCTCTTAAATACTCCCATAAATCCCCAGCAGATATACATCTGTGTCAGCCATTGTAATATGATGTAAATCTGCTGGAGGACTCTTCAGATCCTCAGTCTCAGATCCCTGTTTGTGTCTGTAGGTCTCAGTAGAGTAGAGATAGACTGATGAAGGTTCAGAGCAGCAGAGGGAGCAGTAAATCTGACAGCAGTCGGTGCTGGATGCTCCAAACACATGGGTGTTGTGTCCTCAGCCTCAGTAGATTCTGATTAAGGAGAGTCTGATTTACAAGTTGAGTCAAGCTTGAAGGTTTGAAGTCAGCCTAATGTCATCCAGAGACGCATTATGTTCTGAGAGCTTGAATCGCTCTGTTATAAATGTCAGAACCACTCTGATGAAGTATTACTTTATTTCTACACACACAGTGGCAAAGTGGGGCTGACTAATGTCTGTTGTCGTCACTTATTCAGTTCTGTGTCCTTACCACATGTCTATAAATCCGAGGTTCTCCAACTTTTCATTTGGAGGAAGATAAGATTTCCCTTGGCTCAACAAGACTAATGCAAAGCGAAGCAAGTTTAAGTGTAATTGCATGGAATTTTGATTCTTGAATTACCTATAAAAAATAAATAAATAAAATTAGTTTCTCTCACATTCAGCAGTGAAGTCTGCATTTTCACAGTTCAATGTTTCTCTGTTCCTCTCAGCAATTTTCTGATAAAGAACATTATTCTGAAACTGTTCCACAACTTCCACATGTCGTTTATCACAGACCGGTGAACCTCTGTCCACCTTTACTTGTGAGAATTTCAGCCCCTTTTTTTTTAATACCTGCCTCTTACTAATGTTTAGTTAATTAACCTAATTCGTTGTGAAATGCTCCTCCAGCCATATTCGTAATACTTACTTTTGCAATATTTTGTTGCCCCGTTCTAACTATTCTTATGGTACGGTCACACCGAACGCGTTTTGAGCAGCAAAAATGCGCCCAACGCTTCAAGTTGTACGCGCTACATTCAGACCGGGACTACAGACTAGAGGCGTGTCTGAAGAGGGAGGAGCGTCTTGGTTTTTTTCCGGTCTGTCTTCAGCGGATAAAATAAAGATAAAATTTTTAAAAATGGCTTTGCTTTATTTATTAAAGAGCAAGCAAACGTTGCGCACAGCAGATAATTAATTCACCAGATAATTTAGAGGCAGTTTGTTCGGTTAGTTTCACTCCAGGCGCTGCGAGTTGAAGAACTATTTTTTGTCCCGAGCCCAGTTTAACACCGCAATCGGTTTAACGAGCTGCTGACCTGCATCGGTGCTGATATCTCCTGCCAGAACATCAACTGCAGACGGTTCATTTCAGCTAAAGAGCTCCTGTTCGTCTGTTTTGGTTTAGTGGGCAACATTCAGGAAACTATCACATGGAAAAATGAGTCTCTCTGGTTGACGTCGAGCAGCAAAAGTTCAGATTTTTGAACTCAGCGTCGGCTGCTTTGGACGCACTGCATGCACGGAAAACGCTCTACCGCTACATTCCGCTTCCTTGTGCGTCACTCTAAATGGATTTGATGCGCCGCGAGACCCCCAGAGGCGCCTCCACCATAGAGTTTGCATGTAAACCGGCCACTCCTGCAGCTCACAACGCGTTCGGTGTGAACGTACCATAACGTGTTGCTACCAATAAGGTGACTATGTCAGGTGCCTTTGTTACAAGATTATCCTTTTTTTTTTTTACTTCCTATACAAAAGGGATCCACGATTCGTTGTAACATTAAACTTTACTTGATAAACATTTATTTTAACTGTAAAATAAAGACTGTAAAAATACTGTAGGCTGTTTAGTTTTTATAATATTTTAAAATATATTTTAACATGGACGGAGCCATTTTATTTACACGCAAAGCATTCTGGGTAAATGATGACGTGGATAGGTCCTTGGCTGCTAGGGAGCTATATCCACCCTGAAGGTTAATCTTGGACAATATCTGACAATCGACTCTTAAATTAAACCAGAGAGCGTTGACAGAGAGGAGAAGGTAGAAATGACTCAGCCTGTAACTGAAAATATAGATGGAGGACAACAGAGCTGCTTCATGGAAGCAGAACCTCAACTTAGCCTGTTATCTTTAGCATTAGCTCTGACTCTATCACCATATACTGTATATGTA